TTGTCAAGTCTAGTTCCATACATTATTTGTTGTTTTTATCACCCTCTACATTATTGTTATTTAATTATTCACCCATTACATTTCATTTCATTTCATTCTATTATCAATATGGTGGTTTATTATGTATTCTGCGTGGTGGGATACATAATTAACCATTCGGCTCTAATATATTCACATATATCAAGTATTATTTATCACATTATCATATCAAGTAATATTTAGCATTTAAAATATCAAGTATTATTTATCATATAAACATATCAAGTCTTATTTAGCATTGAAAAATATCATGAATTATGTATTATTTAAAAATATCAAATATTGTGTAATATTCAATCAAGTTTTCGATCAACTAATTGTTTTTTATTGGATGTAATGACTATAAGGTAAGTATTATGGATCATGCAAAACATCAAGTAAATAAGTAGCTTTGTCAAGTCAAATTTCCATTACATTTATTTGTTTGTTTTTTTATTCACCCACTACATTTATTTGTTATTTTAATTATTCACCCATTTTATTTCATTCTATTATCAATATGGTGGTTAGTTATGTATTCTGCGTGGTGGGATACATAATTAACCATTTAGCTCTAATATACACTACATTTATTTGTTGTTTTTTATTCACCCATTACATTTCATTTCATTCTATTATCAATATGGTGGTTAATTATGTATTCTGCGTGGTGGGATACATAATTTACCATTCAGTTCTAATATATTCACCCACTACATTTATTTGTTGTTTTTTTATTCACCCATTACTTTTCATTTCATTCTATTTAAATGATATTATCAAAACATAATATCAATTATTTAATATATAATATACAAGTAAATAAAAAATTGATAATCGAAATTATAGAATTTGGATTAATAGAAAAATAAAATAGAAGCAATAGCAAAAGCAAATATTTACCTCAAATAGAAGAAATAAACTCTTAATTTCAACATCAATAAAAAATATAATATAATAATTTTCAATTTGGATTTTTCATTCAACTATCTTTTGTTTTTTTTTATTAAATGGTTATAAGGTAAGTATCATGTGTCATTAAAAAATAACAAGTAATATCAATCATACAAATATCATGTATTATTTAAAATAAAAAAATACCAAGTAATATGGATCATAAAAAAATATAAAGTATTATTTGGAATTAAAAAATATCAAATAATATGGATCATACAAAAATATCAAGTATTATTAAGCATTTAAAAAATATCAAGTAATATTTAGCATTTAAAATATCAAATATTGTATAGCATTTAAAAAATATCAAGTAATATTTAGAATATAGATCACACAAAAATATCAAGTATTATTTAGAATTAAAAAACATCACGTATTATAGATCATTTATAATTTTCAAGTATTATTAAGCATTTAAACATATCAAGTTTTATTTATCAATAAAAAATATCATTTATTAAGGATCAATTATTGTGTAACATTAAAAATATATCAAGGAATTTTAATGAAAATATTTTATAAAATTTATTATCAAGATTTATAGTATAATGATTATAAGGAAAGTATTTTATTGGATCATTAATATATATTAATTATCAAACAACATTCAAAATGTTTCAACTATTACGGATCATTAAAAATATCAAATATCATGTATTATGTATCATTAAAAATATATATATCAAATATTATGGATTATTTAAATATCAAGTAATATGTATCATTTAAAATATCAAGTATTATATTACATTTAAACATATCAAAGATTATTTATCATTTAAACCTATCAAGTAATATTTAAGCATTAAATAATTTCAAGTTTTATGTATCATTAAAAAATATTAAATATTATGAAACATTCAAGTTTTCAATCAACTATCTTTTGTTTTTTTTTGAATATAATGATTATAAGGTAAGTATTTTGGATCATTATAAAAATCAAGTAATATGGACCAAAAACATCAAGTATTATATAGCATTAATAAATATCAAGTGTTATGGATCATTAAAAAATATCAAATATTATTTAGAATTTAAAGAATATCAAGTGTTATGGATCATTAAAAAATATCAAATGTTATTTAGCATTAAAAAATATCAAGCATTTTGTATCATTAAAAAAAATCAAGTTTTATATATTATTTAAATAAATCAAATATTTTTTATTATTTAAAACTATCAAGTATTTTTTATCATTCAAAAATATCAAGTTTTATGTATCATTCAAAAAAATCAAATATTATTTATCATTTAATCAACTCTCAATAGGTATTTTGATTACATAGATACTGAGTTGGGCCCGCTTGGTATCTATGTTTTTGAAATCTACCTAATCTTCAATGTGGTGGTTAATTATGTATTCTGCGTGGTAGTATACATAATTAACCACTAATTTTCAATATGGTGATTAATTATTTATACTGCCTGAAGGTATAAATAATTAACCATTCGGCTCTAATATACTAACCTCCCCGTGGTAGAGCTGGAAACACTCTTTACAAAGAGTGGCAAATAGTATAAAAAATAAAATTAATAAAATAAATTAAATAATAGTATTAATACCATTTTATTAACTTTAAAAATTTATAATTAAAATCTTTAAATTTTTTTTCTTTAATTTTTTTGGGATTATTTTTTATTTTTAAAAGTTTATTTTATTTTTTTATTATTTAAATTATTAAATTTTTGATTTATGAATAAGTTATTTAAACTATATTGAAGAATTGAGTTTTCATTAAAATACAATACCTTTGCATTCTATCTCTAACATTTTTTTATAATTTTCTTTATCATTAATGATGTCAGTAGTCGTTAATGACCAAACATCAAAACCTTTTACTATTGGAAATTAATTTGAAATTCTCCCTTTGATTGATCTGGATCCTTCAAACTTAAAAACAGTTTCATCCACCAAATATGTTGTCTGATGCTCTCTTTGTTGCTGCTATAATAGGGGTTCAACAGTTGATTGCTCTACCTATTATTAAATTTTATGTGAGTTAAAATTATACTATATAGGCACCAGAAAGTTTCTCTCAATTTCAACGATGAGAAGCCACCAAGAATTACATTTCTTATAATTAATTTCAAAGTTAGAACCTTTAAAATAATAGGAAAAAATTGTTTTACACTGTAAAATTGAAAAAATAAAATGAAACAAGGAACGTTTTGAAAACTAACCAAAATTAGTCTAAATTTTAAAAAAAAAAAATATAAAAAAAATGTGAGGATCATTTTTTAGAACAAGATACAATGTTACATTGTTGGCAAAGTTTAGCAAAGATTTTAAAAGATCCAGAATTAACCAAAGATATTATTGTTGATGTTGGTACGCCAGTATTACATAAAGATGTTAGATACAATTGTAGATTTATTTTGTTGAATCAAAAGATTTATTTAATCCAACCAAAGAAAGCAATGGCCAACGATGGTATAAATTTCTCCTACTCATAGCATAAAATAGGGGTAATTTAATAAACACATATAAAATATGGAATTTACAACATACCCAAATTGAAGTAAAAACAAAAGTGTACAAAATAAATTTGATCAATAAAAAAAAATGTACAACGGTGTGTAATTGAAAAAAAACTAAAAAAATTAATGAACCGTCATGATTATTAACGCAATATTATATTTCATAGGTTAATTTTTAATGGCACAAAACAAATTTTTGTGATATATTTTTGTTTTCTTTTTTTTTTTTTTTTCCCAGCACATTTTCATACATTTAAAAAAATTATCATTAATTATTATCTTAATTAATGGTTTTATTTTATTTAAAAAAAAAAAAATTTGGTTTTTTAAACGATAAAAAATTAAAAAATTTAAAAAAAAAAGTTGATATAAAAGTTGGAAAATCTCAATGATCTAAGCGTTAAATTTAAACCAAAACAAATACAAAAATGATTTTTAAAACAAAATCTTGGAACACTAGGGAAAATGATTTAATTATAATTTTTTTTTTTTTTTTTAAAAAAAAAGTTTATAAACTATAAACTTTTTAAAATTTAATAAGATTTTTATTTGATAAATTTTTTATTTCACCAATCATATTTTCCAAACCAAATATTAATAAAAAAAAAAAACCATAATAATTTTCGCCCCTTTTCTAATTTTTTTTCTTTTTCCTCTATATGAAACTTAGCTTTTAAAGAAAATAAAGATATGGAATAATAATTTTTTTTTTTTTTCATATTTTGGGATTTAAAAGAAATTGTGGTTACTTTAATTTTTTTTTTTTTTTTAAAAAAAAACTATAAAAAAAGAAGTTTTTAATCATTTTAAAAACAAATTAAAACATCTTATTATTTACAAATACTTACTTATTATATTCAAAAAATGAAATTAAATTATTTATTATTATTAGTTTGCATAGTTAAAATTTTCGGTGGTATCAACGCCAGTTGCGTTTACAATGGTTTAGACTATACTCCATTAAGCTTTGCTTCATTTAACTACAACACTGGTCACTACAAATACTACTATGCTATCTGTAATTCTGCTCTCGGTTGCCCATCAGGTAGTGCTGGTTGTCAAATTGATGAAAGCTTTTCAAATTTCGAAAACTCCCTTGGTTCTGTTAGCTCTGGTACCTTCTCAACCAAAAATGGTAATACAGTTCTCTCATATCAAGATTCTGCTGCTACTTGTGGTAGTCCATTAAAAAAGAGAATTTTAAATATTGAATTAGTTCCATCATCCGTTAGACTACCAAATGGCTTCGTTGAATCTGAAGTCACTCAATCCTCAAGCTGTGTTTATGATGTTACTGTTACTTATGACCCTTCAATGGTTAAACCCGCTTGTTAAAAAAATATTTATTTGTAATTTTATTCAAAATGTAATAAGATAACTAAAATAAAAAATATTGTTCCATTATTCATATCATTTTTTAATAGTTTTTTCATTTTTCATTATTCATATCATTTTTTTAATGTTAAAGTAAATTCTATATGAGGGTACACAAATAAATCGAATACAATATTTATTCCGTACTATAAATTAAATAGATAAATAAATAAAATAATTTGTGTACTCTCCTATGAAGAGTTTTATTATTATTACTAGATAATAGATTAACATTCATATATTCGGATGGAGCAAATGAAAAGAAGGATATTGTTAATTCAACATACAATGCAACTTCAAAACTGTTTGAATTTATTATAATGTTAAAAATAATACATTAGATACTTTGAAAATAATAGTTACACAAAAGTTTTACATAACCTTCTGCATATCATTTAAGAGTTGCTGGTCAAAAAGTAAGTTTATACACATATTAATATTATAATATACCTATTTACAAAATAATATAAATACTTTTTAAATTTTTATTTTATTTTTAGATGTTGATTTTATTGGACCATTAGTTTCAGATTTAAACCTCACTTTGCCTGTATGAAGTTTCTTGGGCAAACGGTAATTCTTGTTCTATTTTTTGTGCATGTACACTTTGAGTGACTGTGATGATTTTAGTTCTAAGTATTATTTTATTTTATTTTCATAGATATCTGTGTATCTTATTTTATTTATTTAATTTATTTATTTTAAATATATATAAAGTTGCCATATAAATATAATTAAATGCGATATAAAGAATGATAAAATAATACGAATAAAATGCAAATATTTATATATAATAATTAAATATTAAAAATAAATAGATATAAATAAACCTATATGTTTTTTTTTAAAAAGAAAAATTATAATATCTTTGATATATTTTTTTTTTTATTTTTTTAATTTTTTGATATCGATATTATTATTATGAAAGTAAATTTGGGGGAGGGGAAATAAGTTATTACCTTTTTACTAATTTTTTATAAATATTATAAAAAAATAATAATTTGAATCGAAATATAATGATTTAATTTTTTTTTTTTTTGATTGGTGCACCTATTTAATATTATTGAAAGTGTTTTTGGTTCTAAAAATTAAATTTAATAACCAAACTGTTTAAAGATTTGGTGGATATTTACTAATTTTAATTTTTGGAACTAAATTGCTTCTAAACATAACAAATGGTTCAACTGAGAGGAAAACAGAAAGTTGTTTAGAAATTTCCATCTCTTCGTCGTCTTCAACTGGAATTGAATGATGGGTCGAAAGGAAATCATTTTTATCGCTAGAGACCTCTAAATTGAAATCTGGAAGATAAACAACAAGATGTTTACTTGACATTGTTACAACAATGCCTGGTGTAAGAATTGGACCTTTTTCCCAAATATAAGTTGCAAGATATAAAAGATTGAGTTTTTCAGAGATCTTTCTCTTCCAAGAGATGTCGTTATAACGTTGGCACAATTGAGTTAATTCATCACCAGTAGGTAATAATTGTTTGAATTCTTTAAATTCCTCGCTATTTTCATCCCAATAGGGTGTGATGATAGTATCTGATGACCAATTAACTGTCTTTGTTAATTGAAGCGAGAGGGCACGATGAATATTGACGTCCATATATCTCCTAATTGGGGCGGTGAAGTGGGTATATTGAGCTCTTTCATCTAAAATACTTTCATTACCAAAACCATTACTTTTTTCGACGGTTGTTATATATTTAGTTGGATCCATTAAATGCATTGCAAGTCTTCTCATTGCTTTGGCCTGTTCACTTGAGCAATGCTTAACAGCCTCCTCGACCTTGTTTTTAATTGATCTCCAATCGTCCTCTGATGAAACAACAATATTGTTAACAAATTTCTTAATGAAAACATTTAATCTTTCAAAGAACTTCTTTCTATTGTCGAAATTATTTGGTGGTAGTGACTGTGGAGTTGGTTGTGGTGTACTTGGCGTTGATGATTCTGTTGATTTGGCACTGGTGGTAGTAGCTGTTGGGGCAGGTGATGATGTTGATGATGATGATGCTGCAGCGGTAGTTGTAGTAGTTGTAGTAGTTGTAGTTGGTGCTGTGTTTTTACTATATGATGAATAAACAATACCATATTCGACATTTGTATTTAAAAGTGAAACAGCTGCTAAATTGTTTGCTAAATGCATAAACTCTTGAACTAAAACATGGCTCTCTAATTTTGGAAGGAAATCAACAGCAATTGGGACACCTTCAACACTAAGATCGTATTGAACATTATTACTGATATCGAAAATTTCCTTTCTTTCTTTTCTGGCATTATTTAATAAACTACTAATTAAATAGAGACCCCAAACTGAGTGGTTAACTTTTGCTTCCAAGCCTAATCTTAAACCGGTCGAATTACTGTGAATAGTATTACTACTCTTAGTCATTTGAATAAATGGTTGATCTGGAGATTCGTTTTGTTCTTGTGCCATTTTTTCTCTTTGCTCGTTTGCTAATTTCTCTAAAACATTCTTTAAAATTTCATTTGAATCATCTAAAGTTTCGCTCATTGTATTATTTGTGAATTGATCTAATCTATCGTGGGCTTGTTTATTTTTTTGGATAATTCTTTGAGCTTTTTCGTATGATAAATGACCTTTTGAACGGAGATTGCTCTTACAGAATTGATAATCTAAAATTTTACCATCGGATCTAATTTTTACTAAAAGTGAAAAGCAAAATCTTTTTTGATATAATTTCAAACTACAAGTGTTATTGCTGAGATTCTTTGGAAGCATTGGGATAATTGAACCAACCAAATAAATTGTATTTAAACGATATTCTGCTTCTTTATCGAGTTTTGAACCTTTATCCAAGAAAGCGCTGACATCGGAAATGTGAATACCAACTTCGAAAACACTCATACCTTCATTATATTCCAGTGGAAGACAACGGAAACTAAGAGCATCATCAAGATCGGTTGATGTTGGTGGATCGATAGTAACTGGTACTAAATGAGTTAGGTCAAGTCTTCTTTCTTCCTCTTGATCGCTTGGTAACCAATCTTCATAAACCTCGTCAATTTCTTTTTGGAAGTGCTCAGTGTGGAAAACTTGATGGTTTAAAAGAATACAACGACTAATTGATAAAAGATCCAATGGAGTACCAAAAAAGAATTGAATAGTTCCAATTGCATAGCTGTTATCTGGTGCAAATTCGGTTAATAATAGAATTGATAAACGACCACATCTTTCTCTAAGGTGGCTGTTGCTCAAGTTACTGATAAGATGAACGGTTGGTGTTGATTTCTCGTAGCAGTTATAATAAAATACACGATAGTGATTATTTTCGTCATCACTATCATCATAAAGATCGTGGAAATCATCTGAAGAAATTTGGCTGTAATTACCATGATGATGGTGTGAGTTGTGGTGATGATGGCCATTTGCCCCACCATAATAATCATCTTTTTCTTTTGAATATTTATTAAGTGCCCCAACAGTTCTCTTTTTATCTTCATATTCTCTTAAAAAACCAGTTAATACAGTAGATTTAACCTCTTTATGTTGAAGATGTTGACCATATGAAAATTTAGATGGGATCTTATCAAAAACAAAAGTAGGTACACGTGGTAGAGTGCTAATTTGATTAGCTGGGAAAATAATAACTTGGTTCTCTTCTTTTAATTTTAACAACTCACCAATTAATTGATTCTTTTTTGATTGAATTTTGTGGTGTTGTTGCTGTTGTTGTTGCTGTTGTTGCTGTTGTTGTTGCTGCTGTTGTTGTTGTTGTTGCTGTTGCTGTTGTTGCTGTTGTTGTTGTTGTTGATGTTGTTGTTGCTGCTGTTGTTGGTTAAGCTGTTGACTGTGTTGTGAAGACGAGGATGAAGATAATGGGTGATGAAGATTTATTTGTTGTTGGTTTAACAATTGTTGTTGTGGAGATTGTAATTGTTGTTGTAATTGCTGGGAGGGTTGATGTTGTAATTGTTGTTGAAGATGTAACTGCTGATTTGATTTTGGGCTCGAGTTAATCCAATCCAAAGAAGTGTTGTCGATAATATAGTGATTGTTTGATTGTGGGTAGATTAATGGGGAGGAGTGTCTAGGTGAGGCCGTATTTGGATAATAATCACCCAATAAATGACTACTACCATTCAACTCATGATGAGATTGATAGTATGGCGCATCAGCAGATGAAAATATATAGTTATTTGCTGATTGAAAGGATGGATGATGATAACCAATATGTTGCTGTTGTTGTTGTTGGTCATTGTATGAACCTGAGAGAATTGGAGTGCCCTGACCAATCGATGAAATTGATAAACTATTATTACCTAAAAGTGGTGTTGATGAGAATGATGAACTGCCCAATGATGATGACGAAGAGCTATTACCACTTGATGGGATAAAAAGTGATGAGGATGATGATAATGGTGTGGCGGTGTTTGGATGATTTATTAAATCATTAATGTTAACAGATTGCAATGGGAATGGATCTGGATTGGTGCACCTAATAACAGTTTTATATTCACCATTAAAAAATATCTTTATGCATGCTTGGCCGCTATTCTGTAAATATTTAAAATAATAAATTATAATAATAAACAATAATAATTATAATTAATATAGTGAAATAGATTTTTATTGAAATATTAAAATTTAAAAAACAACATACATCAATTTTTCTGACGCCTTTTAATTGAGTATAAAAACATGACTTTGCTTCTTTTGGTGAATTGAATAAAACATATAACTGATTCTGTTTTCCTGTTGGCTTTAGTGTTGTATGATAAGGTCCAAATAAACCCCTGATATGTGATTCTGTCATTCCTGGCATAATATTATGAAGCAATAGAGTTCTTGAGCCCCATTCAACAACATCGTCAATATATACACTTTGCATTAATTCCTCCATTTCTCTATCTTTTTCATTTTTATTCGCTAAAGCTATTAAATCATTATCATTATAATAGTTAAATTTATTTAAATTTGGCTGATTAATAAATGGTTGTTGAATAGTTGTTGTAGTGGTTGTCGTTGTTGATATTGAATTTGTTTGACCTTGTTGATTTGTTGGGTTTTGTTGTGGTGGCTGAATAATTTGATTTTTATTTAATTTTTTATTTTTATTATTAATATTGATTATATTACTATTATTATTATTATTATTATTATTATTATTATTATTATTATTATTAATATTGTTATTGTTATTGTTATTGTTATTGTTATTGTTATTGTTATTAGTATTATTACTATTATTGTTGGTATTACATTGTTGTGGAGGAGATTGAGATGATTGTTGCATTTGTTGTGGTGGTTGGTTTGAATAAGCTGGTTTTACATTTTTCTTTTTATATTCATTGTTTCCATTACCTATATTATTGTTACCAAGAGTTGGTTTTTTGATTGGTGAGCTAGGATTATTGCTGCTATAAGGTGATTTTTGTTGTTGATATGGTGATTGTGGTTGGGGAGAAGAGAATGATTGTTGTGGTTGTTGTGGCTGTTGTGGTTGTGGTTGTTTTACAGATGGTTGAATTAATTGCGGCTGTTGTGGTTGTGGTTGTTTTTGCGATTTATATTCATAATTTGTATTTTTTAATCTACTAGTATTAGTTGGACTAGTAGAAGTTGTTGTATTATCCCACTTTAAACAAAATTGAAATGGTTGTAGATAAAATTAAAACTACAACAAATCAAAAATACAATTTTAATATCCTTTATTTATATCAAAAACAAAACGTACACTCGAAATAAGTTGTTGTTGTTGTTTTTGTTGACTAAATATATACCAAGAAAAAGAATTATAATTTATAAATCTAGTTCTTTCGATATATATTTTTTTAATTTTTTTTTTTTTTTTTTTTACAAATATTTGAAACTAATAATTATTATTATTTATATTAATTTTTAGTTTGAGTTGTTGTAATTTTTTAAAAATTAAAAAAGTATATACATATATAAATATTTATATATTTTATAATATATTTTATATGTAATATCTTTATCTATTTTAAACACACGAAACTAAACTTTATGAAAAATAATGTTGTGGTTGTGGTTGTTGTGGTGGGAGGTTATTGTTGTTATTAATTGTTTGAAAAAATAAATAAAAAAATAACTTTTATCGTTGACCGTAAAATAATTATTAAAAAATTTTAAAAAAAAAAAAAAAATTTTTAAAAATTTTTTTTTTTTATTATTTAATTTTTTTTTGAATTATTTTTATTTTTTGAATTATTTTTATTTTTTTTTTTTATGATATTTTGTGTTACCCAAATAATGATATTACAACACTATATTTGCTATAACCAAATAAATAATAAATAAAATACAAATTCGAAAATAGAAAAATGGAAACCAGAAGAATGATAATTAATAATATTACAAACAGATAATATTATAGGTTAAGTATATATAATATATATATAATATTAAATAGTATTATACTTTTTATTATTTTTATTATTTTTATAATTAATATATTAATGCAATATAATTAATTTTAAACAAGAAAAAAATATAAAAAACAAACAAATAAAATTAAGAAAAAAAAATAAACAAATAAAAAAAACAAACAAACAAATAAAACAAAAAATTTATTATAAAATTAAATAAAATTAAAATATTATTATTATATTTATTATTATTACTACTATGTTTTTTTTTATATTTGTTAATTTTTTTTTTTTTTTTTTTTTTTTTATATGGGGGGACACAAAAAAAATAATAATAAAAATATTAAATAAAAAAAAAGAATAATTGGTGTTGTTTCTTCTTGTGTGGGTGTGTTTATGTGAGGTTGACTATATTTTATATGTAGGTGAATTGTAATGTGTTGTTTTCTGTATTTGTGCGGCGTGGGAGAGTGTTGTAACTGAGTGAAGTGTTTATATTTCCATATGAAATATTAAATGATGAGTATATATGTAAATAGTTTTATATATGAATTGATAAGAAGAGGGACTAAGAAATGATTATTAATTTAATTTAAATTATTTTATTGTTGTTGATATCGTATGCGTTCTTTTATCAAATTCTATTTCCAAAATAAAATTATTTTTAATTTAAAAACAAAATTAAATTTTTTCTTTTTTTAATTAATATTATATATATTTATATATGTGTGTATATGTAAATATAATAAACGAACGAACTTTTATAAAGAGGGAAAAAATAATATTTTTATTGGATATGTTTTCAAAATTTACCACTTTACTAATAATTAAACAAAAAAATTTTAATTTTTTTTGCCTGGTTTTAATCATTTCGAGATATTTATTTAAATTATTTTTCAAAAGAAAAAAAAAAGAAAAATCAAACAACAACAAAAAATAGACTTTTATATTAATGAGTGGGTTTAAATAGATATTTTATAAAATATAAAAGTGGTTTATTTCTCTGTTTAGATGGTTTATACCCACATTTTTCATTTATTATTTTTTGTTTTGAATTTATATATAGATCCAAAAAGATACATATGAAATTTATAAATTTATATATTAATTAACTATTCTATTTTTTTTTTGTTTTTTTTTTCTAAACGGTACACGTGAAATAAAAAATTATAATAAATTTGTAAATATATATAAATAGGACTGAAAAACCCAAATTACCATTTTTTATAATTTTTATATTTTTTTAATTTATTTTTTTTAATTTATTTTTTTTTTATTTTTTTTTTTTAAATTTTAACATTGCAAATTGTATTATTAATTTTTTATATGGAATAAAAGAAAATGTGCGATCAAGAAAACATTAATTCGAATGAAAAGAATGTAGATGATGAAAAAGAAATAGTTGAAAAAGAAAGAGATGAACAAGATTACAAAGAATATTTGGAGTTTAGAGGTGAAATCATAGATAGTCATTGCCATATTCACGAAGATGTAGAACATATCAAGGAGTCACTCGAGCTACCATTTAAAAAAATGCTTCTAATGGGCACAACTGTACAGGATTGGGATAGAGTTAATAAGCTTTTAGAAAGTAGTGGTAATAACCAAGATAGATTTATTAGATGCTTTGGTATACACCCATGGTTTGTTTATCAAATAAATCCACCAAAGGAACTTTTGGGTACAACTAATAGTGAAAATAATGAAGTTTTCAAAATTGACGAGTCATGGTACAGCACTATGAAAGAACAGCTTCTTAAATACCCAGATTCATTAGTGGGCGAAGTTGGAATCGATAAAGTAACTAAAGTTAAGCAAATTGGTAAAAATGATCAAGAGAGTCAAATGGCAGTTTTTTCAAAACAAATATCGTTAGCAAATGAATTAAATAGATTGGTTAGTTTGCATTGCGTACAACTACATGGTCCATTATTGAAATATTTTCAAGATTTACCTATCGATAAATTTCCACCAAAAATTGCACTTCATACATTTGGTAAATATTAATTTTATTATAAATCATTAATACAACAATAAATAATAAATAATCAAATAAAAACAAAAAACTAATATTATTTTTTTTATAGGTGGTAAACCAGCAACGGTTGTACAGTTTTCAAAAATGGCAGGTGGGAAAGGTGATAGATTTTATTTTGGTCTTTCGTTTATCAATTTAACATCATCAAAAATTGAAAAGCTTATACAGGCTATACCAGATGATAGAATATTAATAGAAAGTGATCAATCCACACCATTAAAAGCAGAAGCATCAATATTTAAACTCATTCAAAAAATTTCAAGATCAAAAAATTGGACAATTCAAAAAACGATTCAACAAACTGCTTTAAATGCTCTAAAATTTATTTCAAAATAAAAAATAATTTTTTTTTTTTTTTTTTTTAAATAATTAGATTTTTATTGCTTTTATAAAACAATTGTTAAAATATAATAAACATTTGAATAAAGTTGCTTTTAGAAAAAATATAAAAAAAGAAAAAAAAAATAAAAAGAAAAAAAAATATTTTAATTTTTTTTAATTTTTTATTGTTTTTAAATTTTTTTATTTTTTATTGTTTTTTTTTTATTAAAAAATTCATTTATAATTTTCAAATTTTATTTTATTTTACAACTCTTTACATATAAAATATTTAAAATAGTAATAGATATTAATAATAAAATAGTTTGTTTTTAAAGATATAGTTTTAAATATATTTTATATATTTTATTATTACTATACCATTTCATTTATTAAAATTAAAAGAAATGGATAAAGAGAGTAATAGTAGTGGTGGAGGTGGTTTTGGTAGTCCCATTAGTGGCTTAAGTGGAAGTGGTTCAGTTTTAGATAATGACAAAATTCAAAAAGTAGTAAATAATTATCAAAAAATTAAAACACAAAATGCAATTTTAAAGAAAGCACTCGTCCAAGAACAACAAAAAACAAATGATTTAGAAAAGACAGTTAAAGAAAAAGAACAAGCTCTTGTTACAGCATTACAGGAGCATGATGTATTGGACTTTAATAATCAAAGATTAACTAAAAGAATTACATTAATGCAAGAAGAATTTATGAATTCAGGTGTAAATATTAAATAATATATAAAAATATAAAATAAAAATCTATAGTTATAAATACTAACCAATTTACTTTACAACTATATTTAGAAAAAAGAAAGTGGTGGCCAATGGTTTGGTAGAAATACTAAAATAGAACTACAAAAAAAAGAAGATGAAATTAATGTATTAAGAAGTGAATTACAAGAAAAGATTGAAGATAATGAAGGGCTACACAGTGTAAATATTGAAAAAGAGAATGCTTATAAAGCATTGGAGTCAGATTTAAAGTCATGCATTTCAAATAAGGATATCGAAATTAAAGAAAAAGAAGAAAAAATTGAAACATTGTTATTGGAACAAAAAGAAAGTGAAAAGAAATTACAAGATCAAACTAAAGGTTTACGTGATGCAATTTCATTATTAGAGAACAACTTTAAGCAAATCTATTCAAGCACTAGACAAAGAGATGATGTATTAATACAACTAGGTGATATAATTCAAAGGGGACTTAACTCAAACTCACCAAATATAACACTGGACTACCCATTGGAAAATATAACACCCTCAAACGAACGTTTTTCATTTGATGAAATTCAACTAGATAAGAACTTTAAAGAAATTTCAAATGTAATTGATACCAATGCCATTAAATCAATTACCGATCGTAATTCTTGGGTACCATTAACCAAGCAAATTATGAATAGTGCTCAAACCTTCCTTTCTTACCATTTAGAACAAATTTCAAATCTTATTGGGTCACATCGTCGTACTATGAATGATTTAATCGAATCAAATCAAAATGAATTCTTAAAAATCAACGAAAATATGAACCGTCTTACCCTACAAAAGGAGGAACTAGAATTTCGTGTAAACACACTTCAAGAGCAACTTTTAGCAAAAGAAAGGGAAATCACTGAATTGAATCAAAAAATTCAAGATACCAATAATATAGTTTTAGCAACACAAGAAAGTAAACAACAAATTGAACAACAAGCTCAAAAAGATAAAGAAGCCTATGAAGCAAATAGAAAGCAATTAGAGCAACAAATTAAGACATTAAAATCAGATTTTGAAAGAGAAACAAAACAAGCTAAAGATCAACACCAAGGTTTATTAAAACATCAAAAAACTTTATTAAATTCAAAAATTACGGAAAAAGATGCACAGATTTCAAATTTAGAAAAGAAAATAAACTTATTATTAAAACAAACAAATATTAACAGTAGTAATAATACATCACCAATTACAAGTAATAATAATACTCCAACTTTATTACCCTCAAATATTTCACCATCAAACTCCACTTCAAACTTGGAAGAATTAAATAGTACCGATAACTCAGCTACAGGTAATAATGATGTCAATAGTAATAATTTATTAGATTTATCTTTCTTAGAGAATTCAAGTAATAGTAATAACAATAATAACTCTTCACCAAATATTTCAAATGGTAATAATAATAGCACCAATAATTTAATTGACTTGGATGATGACACAATTAACTCTATAGAAAATACTATTCAAGAAACAAATATAGAAAACAATAGTGGAACACCAAAAATTTTAAGTGAAAGATTCAAATTATCAGTTTTAGATGAAACTGGTGATGAATCTGATGTAAGTATTTTTTTTCTTTTTTTTCCCTTTTCCCAAATATTAATTTAACTTTTTTTTTTTTTTTTTCAGTCATTAAACTTTTCATTAACAGATAAAGAAAGAGAAAACGAAATGAAAATTTATTATGAAAATAAGATTACTCAATTATTAAATAAAATATCAAATATTGACGCAAAAGCTATTAGATATTATGATCAATACCAAATACTTTTAAAGAAAGGTGGTGCAAGTCAACAAGAATTGGACTCAACCGTTGAACAATTAAAGAATGCCAAGGATGAATTAAAAAACACAAAGGACGAATTAGAAGTTACTAGAGTAAACTATGACCAACAAATGAGATACTTAACCGAACAATTCATTTCACTAAATGAAAATGTTAGCTCACTTGATGGTCAAATTAATAAAATTAAACAACATAAGGTTTCATGTGGTAAATGTAAAGCTTGGAATTCTTTAGATTATATTTTCTCTCCAAATAATCAAGGTTTATATTGCTCAAAGGGCCATCCAATATTATCAATCCAACCATAAAAAAAAAATATTATTTTTATAATAAAAACAATAATATAATAATAAAAGTATAAACGACAATATTTTCATAATGAAGATTTTAATAAATATTTAGATTTATTTATTTAATTACACAAAAAATATACATAAAAAAAAAAAACTTTGAATATATTTTTTAAAAAATTATAGTTTATTTTTTATACATCGAAATCCCATTTAATAATGATTGAACCATCAAAATTAATTTTATTTTCGTAACCAACTATTAACTTCATACCATAAAGGTATGGTAAGAATGGTGTATTATTGATTATTAATCTCTTTAGGCAAATTACCATTTCATTCATACCAATTGTATCATCTATCTTTTTCAATCTTGCTAATCTGAATTGTCTTTTAACAATTAATTCCAATTGTGCTAAATTTCTCATATTGATTCTATGACGCTCCATTTCCTTTTTTATTTGAGCATGATTAGATTGTAAAAAATCTGAAATTTCTTTATAATTTGATGTTAATGGTATATATATTCCTGCAAGTTTTGAATTAAATTTCCATGGCTCGATTGTATTGCTTTGTTCTTCTTTAATAACCTTAATATTAACTTCGTCTAATGAGTTGGTTGCACTGTTAAAACCGTTATTTTCCATAAGGAACTGTTTAAACTGAGTGAATAATTTATCTAAAAACTCTAAATATGCTTGGGAATTTTGGTAATCGTAGTCTGTATAAAGAGATCCTATCTTTAAAGCCTTTGAAAGCTCTTTTTCTTGAGACTTTCTTTGCTTACATTTTTGTATATTTGTAACAATTTGGGAAGGTTTAAATGTTTTTAAAGTTTTGCTCCATTCTGATGGTTTTTTGTTAGAGTTTAATATCAATCTACCCTCTGAATCTACACCACTATTTAAGCTTTTTGAAAATACTATAGAGACCCCTTCTAACCTGTCACGTAAATTACATTCGTCTGATTTCGGATTTGATTCTGGTGTAATATAACCAGATTTAATATGTTCCCATCCTGCAAAATTAGCCTTATTCTTTCCACCAAATACACCAAACTCTGAAAACAATTGTTGCTGGTTACTGACCCTACTACCAAAGCCACCACTATTATTGGTATCATTCAAGTCCTCATCGTTGGACTGATTGTTATTTTGGTTATGATGTTGATTATTATTAAAATTTGATCTATAAGAAGTATACATTTGATTTTCATTTCGACTATAATTTGATTTATCAAATATTTCCTGAATTACATTGTGATTCGATTCTTTTCTTGGCGCTATTTTATTTAAAATTTTTTCTAATTTCTTTAAATGATCCTTTCTATTTTTGAGCGGGAAGTCGTGATCTTGAAACAATACTCTAACTTTATGCTCCATGTAAAAATAAGTGTACATCAAATCAATTTCTCTTTCCTGTTCAGTAAATGAGTTTTGTTGTTCTCGAGCAACAAATGAAATGTTTTTGATAAAATCCAATAAACTTTCCTCTTCGATACCATTTGCGCTTTCAGTGATTAAATGATGCAATATAAACTCTTCTTTTATTCCCATTTGTTTAAATAATGATTTTATTTGAATTTGAGCATCACGGAGTAAATAAACTAGATTCTCGAATGAATCTGATGAGGCTGATCTTTCGACATCGAATTGTACTGATACTGATGGTACCTCGTCTTCATTCGCATATAAATTTTCATCTTGGTAATAAAATTTAAGATTATATTCTTTTTTTAAAATCTTTTCAGATTTGACTTCTCCTAAGAACCCCAAAAAAAGCCTTAATGATTCATCGTTATTATTTTTTATTTTGGGAAATTGATAAAATATATCTGGGTGAACTTTTAAAAAAAACTTTTTTAAAATTAATTTATTACTTTTATCATTATTATTACTTGATGATTGTGTACAATAAAATTTTTTGGAGAAGGTTTTATTAGTATTATTAATATTATTAACACTACCAATATTATAACTGTTGTTTTTATTATTATTTAGAAAACTATTAAACAATAAATTTTTTGAAAAATTATTATGTAATTGTTGTGGTGTTTGTAATGAAAAATTAGAGTTTTGTGGTTTAAATTTTATATTTTTATTTATTGTTGTATAATTTTTATTTGAATATATAAACAATAAGTTTCTATTGCCTTTTATCATATTATTGAAATTATCTCTTTCTCTTTTTCTTTTGAAAAATAAAATAAATAAATAATTTTTAAAAAAGAAACTAAAAACTAATTATTTTTTTTTAATTTTTTAAATTTTTTAATTTTAAATTTAATTTTTTTTTTTTTTTTTTTTTTTTTTTTTTTTTTTTTTGTTTAAATTTATTTTCAAATAATTGTTCCAATCATTTTAAATTTTAAAACTTAAATTTAAAAAAAACAACTTCACCTTTATAATTAAATATTAATATACAAATAATATATAAAAAATAGATATAAAATGATATGGGGGGCAATAAAAAGAAAATCAACATCATTATTTAGCAAAAATAAAAACAAATTGAAAGGTATGAGATTTGAAGAAAGAGTTGAAAGAATGTTAAATAAAAGATTATGCTTTAATGTAAAAAAGAATGTAATATTAAAAGATGGTCATGGTAATATCTCAGAGATAGATTTAATGTATGGTATATTTTTTAAAACCTATGTGGAGTGCAAGTGTTATGACAGTACCCCAGTCCCATTAAAAGATGTTGCAAAGTTTAAAGAAGTTTTAGCATTAAACAATATTAGTTCAAGAAGAGGCCTATTCATTACAAATAATACATATGTTCCAAGAGCAGTAACTATTGGAATCAAAACTATTGATGGCGATCAATTAAAAAAAATGGAAAAAAGAGCTCCTTTAGTGGCTATATCAAAATCAATTTTTATTTTAACCGGATTTGTTTTTGGTTTAGGTTGTTTGGACATCATCATAAAACATTATCAAAAAAATTTCGAAGAAGGTAGAAGGAGAAGAGAAAATCCCTTTTAAAGATTAAAATAAAGCTATATAATATATAATACATAATACATAATACATTATAAATTTTAAACAATATACAATTATTATTTGTTTTTTAAAGTTAAAACTATTTTTTTATAAAGTTTTAAACTATTTTTTTCATATGAAAAAAATTTAAATTATTTATTTTTTTTTTTTTTAGAAAAATATATATAATTAATTATATAATTGAAAATTTTTTTAAATGGATATTGTTATTATTGCTACTATTATTATTTTTAAAATTATTGTGTATAAAATAAAAATAAAAAAAAAAAAGAAAGAAATAAAGAAAAAAAAAAGTATATTATTATTGTTATTATTATTATTATTATTGTTATAATGTATTATTATTATTATTATTATTATTAAAGTATATTATTTGTTATATTTATATTTTATATATATAGAAAATGATTTGATTTCCCTTATTTGTTTGCATCAGAGAATAATGATGAAATAGATTCACCATGGTGAGTTCTTCTAATGGCTTCAGAAAGAGTATGAGCGATGTTGATGGTTTTAATTTTTGGACATTGGGCAGCTTTTTCAGCATGTGGGATGGTATTGGTGATAACTAATTCGGTAAGTGAAGATTCGTTAAGTTTTTTAATGGCATCACCACTGAGAACACCATGGGTAACTAAAGCATAGACTTTAGTGGCACCTTTGCTAATGAGCATTTCACATGCAGAAACAAGAGTTCCACAAGTATCTGCCATATCGTCAACGATTAAAGCAACTTTATCTTTAACATCACCAACTAAAATCATACCTGAAACTTCATTGGCCTTCTTACGTTCTTTGTGGATAATGGCAAGATCGGCATCAAGTTTATCAGAGATTGATTTGGCACGTTTGACACCACCAGCATCTGGTGAAACAATAACCTTTTCACCTGGAATATTCTTTCTAATATATTTAATAATTTGTGGTTCGGCATATAAATTATCTACTGGGATATTGAAGAAACCTTGAATTTGGCTTGCGCTATAATGATAATAAACCGTATTAATATCGTAATAACTATAGTGTGATAATAATATATCGAAAAATGTTAACTTACTGTAAATCCATAGTAATAACTCTATCAATACCTGCTGTTTCGATAAGATTTGCAACTAATTTACCAGTAATTGGGGCTCTTGATTTATCTTTTTTATCTTGACGAGCATAACCAAAACATGGAATAACTGCAGTAATTCTGTGAGCTGAAGCTCTTCTGATGGCATCAGCCATAATTAATAATTCCATTAAATTATCGTTTACATTTGGATTGCAAGTTGGTTGAATGATATAGACATCCATATCACGAATTGATTCGCTAATCATAACACTAGTTTCACCATTTGAAAACTTGCCAACATGAGCTTTACCTAATGCAAGATTTAAATCATCTGAAATTTCTGATGCTAATTCACGATGAGCATTACCTGTTAAAATTTTAATTCTATCACCCATTTCTTTCTTTTTATATATTATTATGATTTATATTAATTATTTATTGTTTTTAAATTATTTATTTAACCAAATAATTTACTGTATATATTTTATTGGGTGGTATTAAAGATTATTTTTTAAAAAAAAAATAAAAAGAAAAAGTATTTAATGTTAAAAAATATGCTCTTATTATAAATTATAAAAATATTTTTAATTTAATTATTTTATTTATTATTACTATTGTTATTACTGTTTATTTACTTTATTATAATCTAATGATTATTATAATTATATTTTATTTTTTTTAAAAATTATAGAATACAAATAAAACAAACACTACAACACAATACAAAAAAAAAAAGTTCGTATTGCACTACACACAAGTACCGTAAAAAAAATTGAAAAATATTTTTTTAATTTTTTTTTTATTTTTAATTTATTTTTTATATAAAAAATAAATAATTAAATTTTAATTTAACTAAAAATTGTATCTTTATTTTACAAATAATACACACAATTATTTATTATTATATTATTTTTATTATATTATTTACCAATTAATTAAAATGATTTATATTTTTTTTTTTAGATTGAAATTTTTTAAAGTTTTTTATATAAACTATGTTTATAGTTATAAATAAAAATAATAATTTTTAAAAGTGAATTTAAATTTAATATTAAAAATAAAAATAAAAAAATAAAAATAAAAAAAAAAATATTTAAATTGAGATTAATAAATTTAAAAATAAAAAAAAAAAAATAAAAAAATAATATTCGATATGGGGTTATTAGATTCAAAAATAAAAAATTATTATTATTGTTGAATTTGAGGTAAAAAAAAAATGAAATAATCTCGAAAAAATTTTTAGATATATTGTCAAATTTACATTATTGTATTTATATATTTTGGTATTAATGAAAAATGAACTTGGATTTGTAAAATAAAATAATAAAAAAAAACAAAAAAAAAAAATTTTTATATAAATAATTGAATGAATAAATAAATAAATTAAAAGATAATTACGCTAAACTTTTTTATATCTATTAAAAGAGATAATTGAGTTTATGAAAAAAACAAAAAAAAAAAAAAAAAAAGAATTATATGTGTGAAAAAAAAAACGAGAGATGTTGCCAATAATTAAAAAAAAAAATTAAAAAAAAAATTTAAAATAAAAAAAAAAAATAAAATTTTAATGAACCGTTAATTCCATTTGCCGATAGTCTGTGCCTTTGAATTAGAAATTGTTAAAGCTAATGTTAAATTAAAAAAAAAAAATTTCATAACGAATCACGTAAATTCATTCAAATTGGTGATATCAGAGATTGTGTGATTCAAGTTTCTAAAAATAAATTTGGTAAACAGGGGTGGTCGTTATTTTTTTTATTTTTACTTTTTTCTTTCTATACAATTTAGTTTTATTTTCATTCTTTTATTTACTTTTATTTACTTTTTTTTTCTTTATATAGTAATGAATAAATTGTCGAAATAAATAAACCCAATATATGGCCAAACATTGAAGAATAAACGCAACTAATTGGCCAAACCTGCCATGGTCTATCCCAATCTAAAGGAATTGGGAAAGCACCAACCCATGACATGAGTAAACTTGATACAACTACAATTACACAACATGTTTCGATTATATTGCTGTGGCTGTGATATCAATTTGGTAAAAAAAAAATTAAAATTTATTTTACATAATACCTATTATATTATAAATATTCTTACTTTTGATTTAAAAATAGTTCTTTCCAATTTTGTGGATTGGAACCTAACAAAATTGATGGTGGCACCACACACATTGCAGATAATAAATATCCATAAAAAAATGTTGTATGAACTGATCTATATAAAAATAATAAAAAGTTAATATAAAGTTGTTTCATTATATTTATTTAAAGATAAATTATTATTGTAAGGTGAGTTTGTTATTATTGTTATTATGGTTATTATTGTTATTATGGTTAAAAAGAACAGAATATCATATTGATGATTGGTTTAAAAATTACTTTAAAAATGGTGCACCAAATAAAATTAATATAATATAAAATATTAAAGTACCAGATAAAAGTCCAAAAATCGATCTATTAATTTTGGTTGATGGGTTTCCTGGGTATGCAAATAATGAAAAACCTAAATGTGTTGATGCTATAATTGTTCCATACAGTATTTCATTTATAAAAGGATATTCCACAATTGAAAGTCCACTGTTATTTAATATAATAAACAATATCGAAATAATTAATCCCAATACAAGGTATCCTGTTGAAATTGAATATCTTGAGTTTTTAGATAAAGTAAAACTATGGCTATTACTATTGATTATGCTATTAGCCATATTATTATTAATTATATTATTATTTTATAAATAATTTTTTGAAAAAATTAAAAAAAAAAATTAAAAAAAAAAAAAAATTAATAAAAAAAAAAAAAGTAAAATTTGGTTTTTTTTTTTTTTTTTCAATTTTAAATTTAGATTAATAAATATATAAATATATATATTTATTAATCAAATTAAATGAACATTTAATTGATTGTTTTAAGAAAAAAAAAAAGAAAATAAAATTAAATTATAAAAATAAATTTTAAAAAAAAATAAAATTAAAAAAAAATGTTTTTTTTTTTTTTTTTTCATAAAAACCGACGAAAGTAATTTTTTACTTTTTTTTAAATTTTTATTCAAACAAATAAATAAATAAATAAATAAAACACGAATATGTCAAATACTAGAATATGTGTTAAGCAGTTACCAAAGCACTTAACAGATAAACGTTTTAAAGAGCATTTCGAAAAATTTGGTGTTGTAACAGATGCCAAAATTATAAAAAAGTAGGTTTTTTAGTTTATTGTTTTATAGTATTTATTTAAATAATAAATATTAATTTAAAAATATGTTTTCTTTTTCTTTAGGGACGGTAAATCTAGATTATTTGGTTTTATAGGTTTTGCAAATGAAAACTCTGCAAAGAATGCATTATCATTAAATGGTACTTTTATTGATACATCAAAGATTGTTGTTGAAATTGCAACACTTGCAGGTGACTCTGAAGCACAACAACCATGGTCAAAATACTCAGAAGGTTCATCAGCAAATAGAAAAGTTCAAACATTAGAAAAAGAAAAAGAGTTAAAGAATTTAAAGAGAAAACAAGAGCAATTGGAAAAGAAACAAAAGAAGAAACAAGTTAAAAACCAATCATTCGGTTTAGATATGGAGTTAGAAAATGATCCAGAGTATCAAGAGTTTAAAAAACTTCATGCACAAAAAGCAAACTCAAAAGTTTGGGATGATAACAGTAATATAGGCGCTGCTAAAGAAGAACCACAAGAAGAAGAAAAGAAATCAAAAAGAAAGATTGAACTTGAAGCAGCAAATAATAAAGATTTATTGGTATTTGAAGATGACGACAGTGATGCTGAGGATCTCTATGAGGACATGCCAGTTAAAAAACAAAAGGCTGAAAGCGAAACTATTATAGTTAAAAAAGATAAATCATTAAATGATAAATCAGTTTCAGATTTAGATTGGTTAAGCAAGTTTAGATCAAATGATGATAGTAAAATGGATAGCGATAAAGAAAAAGATAGTGACGAAGAAGACGATGACGAAGAGGATGACGATGAAGAAGACGATGAAGAAGAAAAAGATTCCGATAAAGAAGATAAAAAAGATAAAGAAGATAAAGAAAATGAAGAAAATGAAGATAATAAAATGAAAATTGAAGATAAAATCAAAATGGAAAATCCAGATAATAAAAAAATTAAGGAAATTAAATATTATGAACACGACTATACAAAGGAGGAGGAAGATGTCGGTGACAGCGGTAGAATCTTTATTAGAAATCTTTCATACACAACTAAAGAAGAGGATTTAGAAAAAGTTTTTTCAAAATATGGTAAAATTTCAGAAATTCATATTCCAATCAACTATGAAAGTAAACAATCAATAGGTATCGCATTTATTTTATATTTAATCCCAGAGAATGCAGTTACAGCTTTAAACGAAATGGATGGAAAGGTTTTTCAAGGTAGAATTATTCATGTACTCCCAGCTAAGCAAGCTCCAGCTAAAACACCAGTATTAGATGGTGCATCTGCTGGTTCATCATATAAATCAGAAAAAGAAAAAGAGCAAAAATCAAATAGTGGCTCAACTCATAACTGGAATGCCCTCTTTATGAGAAGTGATGCAATTGTTTCATCTTTAGCTGAACGTTATAAAATGACTCAAGGTCAACTTTTAGATCCAAATCAAGTGGATTTAGCTGTTCGTATGACCTTAATGGAAACTCATGTTATTAACGAAACAAAGAAGTTTTTAGAGGAACAAGGTGTAATCATTACAGATATTGGTAATAAAGGCAGTAAGCGTAGTAATACAACTCTTTTAGTTAAAAACATCCCATTCAAAACTGATGAAGAAGAATTGGAACTATTGTTTTCAAAGTTTGGTGAATTAGCTCGTGTAGTTTTAGCACCAGCCCGTACAATTGCTTTAATTGAATATCTTCATCCAAATGAAGCAAAATCTGGTTTTAAAAATTTAGCTTACACCAAATTCCATCATGTACCATTGTATTTAGAATGGGCACCAGAAGGTGTATTTAAAAATCCAGCTCCACCAAGAGATCCAAAACCAAAACAAGCAACAGCCAAAACAACAGATTCATCAAGAAAAGAAACATCAACAAAAGAAACATCAACAAAAGAAACATCAACTAAAGAAACATCAACAAAAGATACAAAAGAACAACCAAAACAAAAGGACACCAAATCTTCATCAACCAACCAAGAAACTCATCAATTTGTATTTATTAAGAATTTGAATTGGAAAACTTCAAATGAAACCCTTGAAGGTAAATTTAAATCACTTAAAGATTTTATTTCAGTAAATATTGCAACCAAACCAAACCCAAAGAAACCTGGAGAAAGATTACCATGTGGTTTTGGTTTTATAGAGTTTTCATCAAAGCAAGGTGCATATGAATGTATAAAGAGATTAAATGGTGCAACTATTGACGATCATGAAATTTCATTAAAACTTTCAGATAAGAACGAGGTCAATGTTAAAGCTAAAGAAATGCCAGAAAATAAGAGATCAAGTTTACCACAAAATGCCAAATCCAAACCATCATCTAAAATTATCATTAAAAATCTTCCATTCGAATCCACTACTAAAGAAATTAGAAAGTTATTTGCTGCTTATGGTGAAATCCAATCAGTTCGTATTCCAAAGAAACCAAATGGCGGCCACAGAGGTTTTGGTTTTGTCGAATTCCTTACCGAAGAAGAAGCCAAAAATGCTATGGAGGCTCTTGGAAGCTCTCACTTTTATGGTCGTCATCTTGTTTTACAATATGCTGAACAAGATAAGAATGTTGATGAATTAAGAGAAAAGGCAAATTTAGATTACGAAAAAATAAAAAATAGTAAATTTTAAATAAAAATAAAGTATACAATATAACAACAAAAAAAGGATCATTTTCTTTTTTAAATTTTAACATTAATAAAAAAGTTTTAAACTATAAAAATTGTTTTAATAATATAAAAATTATTTTAAATATAAAAACTATATTTATATTATATATTTTATATTATATTCTATTTATTGGTTTGTTTTAAAAATACATATTGATAATTAAGAGTTTTCAGCCCATGAAATTGCTTTTCTATCTATACCAGCGCTATAAATAACACTATCGTCAAAACTCCATGAAGTTGAGGTACCCATTAATTTATGACCATATTTGTATTGATCCCTCATTTTTCCCTTTCTATTACCATTAACATCGTAAACCGAAATTCTACCATCATCTTGAGGAATTGCAATAGAGCCATGGCTCGAAACTGATAATCTATTAATGCCAAATGGACAACGAATTGATGTTTTATAGGATTTGGATTGTCTGATATCCCAAACTTTAACTGATCTATCTTCACCACCTGAAATTATAGAAATACCATCATGTGTAAAAATTGCACTGTTGATAGATTCGGGTGATGCTTGGATTGAGTCTACACATCCTGATACACTACTACGGAAATCCCAAATTCTAACTATGCCATCGGTACTTGATGTTACACATTGATTACTTGCGAGTGGTTGTGATGTGATGTTTGTGACTCTATAAAGTAGATCACTACAAATATTTGAGTTTGAAATCATTCTGCCAGTTTCAGTATTCCACCATCTTATACTATTATCCCAACTTGATGATGCAATTACATTTGAGGACACCCAGGTCGCACCAATTACAGGACTAGAGTGACCTTTTAATTCCATGATTGGGGATCTAATAAATGTATGGGTTTGTTCTGCGTTTGTATGTAGTTGGGTCGATTTTTTATGGTGGTGATGATGGTGATGTTGGTGTTGATGTTGGTGATGGTGTTGGTGGTATTGGTGATGATGGTGTTGGTGTTGTTGTTGTTGTTGTTGGAAGGTATTTACTACAGGTTGTACTTTATGATCATCTAAGATTTTAAAATCCCTTGGTGATTGCGGAGGTTTGAATGTTGGTGTTTGTGTTTGTTCCATATCTGAAGATTCTGAATCCATATCAAAATCATTATCAAAATTATTTGTTTTACTATTTGATTTGCTATTGCTATTATTGTTATTATTATTAGTGATATTAAAAGTATTGATTGGAATACCACCACTACTATTCATTGTATTGGGGGTTGTAAAATTATTGGATTGACGTTCTAAAAGTGGGGTCCATAATTTGGTTTTCGATTTATCAATATTATGTTGAATATTTGTAATTGGTATATTATTTGTAGGAGCTGATATTGGGTTTGTAGATCTACCCATTACTGGTGACCCAGGAGTATTATGAGAGTTTATTTGGTTTGGTGACGTATATTGTGGTTGCTGTATATTTATTGAAGGCTGTTGAGGCGATCTATAACCATGAGAGCCTCTTTCAGAGGGTAACTTTACGATATGGATAGTTTTATCTCCAGATGCAGTACAAAAATATCTTTCCAAAGGATGAAATCTAATTGAATTTACTGTGCCTGTATGTGCGGTATAAACCATTGGTAATTTAGATCCATCAACAGTCCAAATTCTAGCGGTTCTATCAGTCGAAGCTGTACCAAAATAAACAATTTCCCATGGACAACCTGTTATTTCCCAAATTCCATCCTTATGTCCTAAATATTCTTTTGCCCTAATCCACTTATGTGATCCATCTCTTTTAGATAGGTTGGTTTGTTTTGGTTTGGATTGAGATTTTGATTTTTTGATTTTCGGTAACTTGGTTTTGCCTGTAGCACTAATTAGAAATCCATTATTTGTTTTTGATGTTGTACTGCTTATATTGGATGTGTTAATCGCTGTTGTATTTGTTGAGTTTTTATTTGATGATATTATTGATACCAATGTTGATTTTCCAGTATTGCTGCTATTGTTATTTATATTTGGACTATTGCTTTGGTTTTCTTTATTATTTGCTATAGTATTGTTACTATTATTATTGCTATTATTTACAATTACATTGTTCGAACTATTATTTAAAGTTGCATGCTGATTATTTATTAAATTGCTATTATTATTATTTGTTAACAATTCCACTTTAGATTTTACTAAATAATAAAAAAATAAAAAAAAAGGTTAATAAAACAATTTAAATAAAATATTTAAAATAATAAATAATTACACTCTTGATTTTCAAGCCATAGTATTTTATATTCATTTTCCAGTTTACCTAATAGCTCTTTAAATCTATCGAATGATGGTAGTTGGTTTATATTATTTATATTATTAAGATTTGCATTATTTAAACTTAACTTTGGGGTATCTTTGGAATTTTTATTCTTTATAAAAGGTATTTTACGTAACATTAGTATTAAGTATTTAATAAATAAATGATTTGATAAAATAAATAAATTTGAAAGGTTTTATTAATTAATTATTGCTATTATATTTATTTTTATTATTATTTTTAACATAGTAAAGTATAATATTGAAAATATAGAAAATAAAAGAATAATATAACAACAAATTACAAATAAAGTTTTTTTTAAAAAAAAAAAACAATAGATAAAAAAATAAAAAAAATAAAATAAAATAAAATAAAATAAAATGAAATAAAATAAAATACAATGTAATATTAAAAAATATAATAGAGTTTATCTTTTAATAATATAATGTTTTTTAAAAAAAAAAAAAAACTAAATAATAGTAATAATTTTTTAATTTTTTTAATTATTTTTTAATTAAAATATTAAATTCTCATTGTTATAAAAACAATGTCTAAATAATAAACTTACATTCATAATACCTCTAATTTATATTTTTCTTATATAAAATCAGTTGTTATTTTATTATTTAAACTATTAAAAATACAAAGAAACAAACTATAAGTTGTGAATATTGTAATAAAATTACAAAGATATGTACTATAGGATTAATAGTATTATTATATAATGATTTATAAATAATAAAT